ACATGTGAGGAGATCGTTTATCTGAGCTGGATGTTAGATGTTAGCTGTTAGCTGGATGTAAACTGTTAGCTGGGTGTTTGCTAGATGTTAGCAAGTGTTTTTACTGAGTTCAGGGTTCACTGAGTACACATACTTTCCACACATTGTTCTGGTTTTTGCATACTCGTGGTCCAAGTATAAGAAAGGCATGGGGGTATTAGAATATGCTTCTGAACAGGAATTCAGATTAGTGATAATCTAAAAGTGATATTAGCCTACAAAGTCTTCCAAAGAAGATGGATCCCTGGGAAGATTAGTGAATGACAACCACAAGTCACCAAACTGCGTCATGACAAAGATCATTGTGAAAAACAGGCCTCATTTGTGTTGGTTTGCTGTGAAAAGAATTGAAACAGGGGATGAAATTGACTACAACTATGGTGACTCAAAATGGCCATGGTGGGAAAAGGTACTCTTTGTTTGCTTTTCTTTGTCCTCAGACGTTTAATTAATAAGTGTGTGTAAAATGCGACATCTATTGTCTACTTTCATATCTCTATCACCATGTTTTATGTAAGGTTAAAATATTGAGTTAGAATCAATTGACCTCTTACTTACTTGTTCTTGTATTTTCTATGAATTACAGGTGGCAGTGAGTCCAGATCTTTCAGCAGCAGTCCAGACTACCACACCCTATCCAGGTCAGACCTCCCGAGAGGATTCAAAGAGGGATGGAGTTAAACAACAGGTAATACAGGGATTCATTCTGTACCTATTCTAGAATAGGTATAGAATCTCTCTACTTTCTACTTGCCTTTTCAAGGTAGGATTGTGATGACATTGCTTTAATCATTCAGTCTTTCATATGTAGTGTCTGCTATTATAACTTCTACATATACAGCATGTATCTTCAAAATGTGTTGGGAACATTTGGGCCCAATGGTAGAAGCAGCTGACTCTAATGATCCTTTTCTCAGTCATGAGGCAGACATATGAGCAGCACTGATGTTATGACAATGCACATGGCTGTCCGTTAATGTATGGTTTGTTTTTTAATGGATCTTGTGACTGTGTCTTATGACTTCTTCAACTAAACTATAAGATCACAGTGTGACTATGTGTTCGGGGTCATTTCTACCGTCCTCATTCTCGGGGCTGACCCAGGCTGAAAGCGCTAAGCCTGAATTGGACTTGATGTATTCTGATTATGCCATTAAACTCTTTCTTTAATACATAACTCAGAGTGCATTCCTTCTCCAACACTATACTGGTTTGTGCGGGAAACCCCATCTTCTGCGGAGAAGAACATACAACACATTCATGGTTACTCATATTGTGATGTGGAATAATGATCCAATAATGAGCTCTAGTCCACGGCCTCTTGTATATCAGGCCCTGAGCTATGAACCCAAAATTCTTTTTCTTTGGTTCCTTCGAAGCATGAAGCAGTCTGCTCCCAATTGCCTTGTCCATGTTCCCGCAGCCGCTCAGTGCTTTCATCCAAAACATACACACGGGCCAATCACAACGGAGCTTCTCTACGCTGCTGGCTGTGTAGTTAGAAAAAGGGCTCTATGCACGGGGAGGCGTGACGTCATTTTATTTAAACAAAGAAGCTCAAAGCTCATTTACTTCCTGTCTATGCTATCGCTATGGCTGTGGTGAGTTGTAGTGACGTTTTTTAGTAATTAGATTGATACATTCAGCTGTGAGACTGACCAAAAAGTGTCATCGTGCTTTCTCTCTGAGGAATAGCTTTGACTGTGGCCACTCAGAGATTAGTTAACTTTATAAAAGCACAATGACAGCACAATCAAAGAACACTGCTGTGTCCCACAATGCACTGCATCCTCAGTTAAATTCCTGTTTGAGAATTATTTAGGAAACTCGTGTAAAAATCTGCTGAACTCCAGTGAAACTCAAGCCGATCCCTGCACACCGGGAGTCAAGTGTTGTTATAACTAAAACTCAAAAGTGGTGCGAGCATTGAGCCCATTCCGAGGGTGCACAGGTGGCTACGCAAGGGTCTTGCGGTGATTCTTGTGTTGGTCATGTGACATCAGGTCCCGTCACAAGGGCCAACGTAAGCTCAGAGACGCGCAAGTATACACTAGGCTTAAGTGCTTACACAAGGAAAGCATTTTGTCCTTAAGCTGAACTTCAGAGCTCTGTTATTTTGTATTTTCTCTGAATAACAGGTGACAGTGTGTCCAGAGCGTCCAAGTTTCTGGTGCATCATTTTTGATGATAACCAACAGATTCTCCAGTTCTAAATCAGAAACTTCTTAAGACCTTGGTGATGATATGTAGTGAAGCTTGTGTGTTTCCACTGAACGCCATCGTTGTGGCATCAGGATACAATGCGTCACCATGAAACAGGAGGTGTCCATAACTCCAATGTATTTTGCCTTCATAAAATGATCATGTTTGATACCAAGCTCGGTTCAGGACACAAGCTGCTGGAGCGATTCAGGACGGAAGCAGCTCCCAGGCTGGGAGGAAAAACAAGAAGCAGGCCGGTGCCAATCAGAAGGAAGACTCACCAGCAGGAGGAAGTCACCAGGAGGAGAACTCCTGGTGGAGGAGAACTCATGAGTTCCAGGAGGAGGACATATGTGTGTTTTTGGAACTGGATTACCCTAATGGGCAAAGAAAACCATTGAGGTTCTTCCTCAGTGTCATCTGGCCAACTTCAGCTCAGCCAATGTAGTTATGTTTCATCTTGTTGTGTAACTCAGAATTAGTTTATTTGTATTTTCTGACATTATTTTTTGATTGTGTTCCTTGCAGGAGGATCTAAGGACAGTGATGATCAGGAAATGTATGAACATTCATTAACATTATTATAGGGCTCCTCACAGCAGCAGTAGAATGCTCTGTTGATTTGAATGCAATTTCAAAACGTTCTACCGGTCATTATTTCTTATAACGGACCTCTCAAAACAATAATGACCGCTGCCCATGGCAACGCTTGTAATTCATGTGTGTAGATTGCTCCGCAAGTAGTTCCGGCCACTCCGGAGCTAGCCACGCTCAATAAACGCAAATATCAATCAATCAACACAATTAAATATTAATCGGAGAAAACATTATACATATACATTCTTAATACACATGCACAGAGGTTTTCAGAATTTTCTGTCAAGCTTTTCATGACAAAAATACTGTTTTATTGCGAGAAAAAGCGATCGCGAAAAACCCGGAAGTTGATTCCGGGACATTATAGGAACATTTTGCGGAGGATCGAATTATGGATTTAGGTTAAGTTTATGTTTGGGTCACTCACCGCTGATGTTCAGAATTCTTTGTTCAGTTTTCATGCAGTTCCAGAGAGTTCTAGTTTGCGAGTTGCTAGCCTAACTTTTACTAGCCTAACTGTTACTTGCATAGCCACGGGAAAGCCTTTGGGAACTATTTTATTTTCTGTCATTAAATAAACCTTTTGGCATTCCTAAGAGTGGACTGAAGTTTATTTTGTGTGTTCTGTTGGTACAAAGCCGTATAATGTATCGTACACAGGTTAGGTTATCGAACAGTTCACGTTCAAAGTTCACAATTTAAATTCTGAACTAGTTCAAAGTTCAGTTTGTTTTACTTTTTTTGTGACTACGAGCTAGAAATCACTATATATCCCCTGTACACCGCACAGGATGAAACAAACAAGATTTACATGAGTTTCAATGGGAGCAATACTGAGTTGTCCCATCTCTGCTCATACTACAAACAGTAATGCGCTGCAGTACGTGTGTCTACGCTTTATGTCAAATGTAAACGGTTGGCCCTGTAAATGTGTCGCTAACTCACCCATTGTTTTCATCACGACTCGGGCACATGTGAGTCCAACCCATGAAAAGCACCAGCATACAGCGCCACACCGCAAAATGGAGTCGGGGTGCGTTCATAGACGGTGAAAACTATGGGAATTTTTAGATTTCGGCGGAAAAAGGTGCGGAGAAAACAGGAGGGAGAAACTTTCTCTTGTTGCGTTTCAAAAGAGAAAACAGATGTCACTCAGTTTTCAATGGAAAACAAATTCCAACGTTCATTTTCAGTCATGTTTGCCGTTCATGACACATAATGTGAACTAATTCACGTTCAAGTTCTTTATTAAAAAATGTGTTGCGTTCAGTTCAACGTTCACGGAAAAATGAGTGTGTTCAATGAACGCGTTCTTTTGAACTCGTTCACGCACAACACTGTATAGGATGATTCATTGAATAGAATGTTCCATACGCTTCACATGTCCAAGCAGGAAGTCTAATTATGGATGCGAACATAGTCATGTAATTAGCATGTTCATAAGAGGAGCCTCCTCCTGCACCTGCACGAATGCCGCACAGACGACTGCTCCCATATACAAGGATCTTGACTCTAAGTTAAACCAACAGAAATAAGATCGGGTGAATCAGAGAAGAGATACATTTAGCAAGTTTGAGTATTCTTTTGCTTCTACAGGCTCCACAGGAAGGAGCATTTTGCATTTGTGTTTATTCTTTTTTTTTTTTTTTTTTTTACAAACTAGTAATAGTAGAACTCAAACCCAAATCCTTCATCCACCACTTTTCTGTCAGTGTCCAAAGAAAGCAGTCTGTCCACTTTTTGCTTTGAGTGTGTGTATGAGTCTGCGTGTGTGTGTGTGTCATTCTCAGCGTGTGTGCCTCTCTGTGTATTCGTCTCTCTCTCTCTGTGTATGCGTGAGAGTGTCTCCATGTGTGGGTGTGTCTCTTTGTGTGTGTGTGTCTGTGTATAACGGTCTGTGTGTGCGTGTGTCTCTGTGTGTGTGTCTGCATGTGTGACTCTGTGTGTGTCTCTGTCTCTCTGTGTGTGTGTGTGTATGAGGAGAGGAGGTAAAAGCAGATGTGTGAATGAGGTCGGCCCCTGACCCCTTCTCCCACTCTCCGCTCTCACTCACACAGCGGTCCCCACAAGGCCACGTTTCAGAGGATGGAACTGACCTTTCCTCTGGCAGAGGGGAGCAGCTCTGAGAAAGCACTTTGTGAGTTTAGTGTGAGTGCGGTGTGATGGAGGCGTTCGCCCTGCCCCCCTCACCCCCATGTCTGATGCACTGTGAGGAGAATGTTCGCCAGTCCCATTTTGCTCCAGGGCTGTTACGAAGACCAGGACTGTCTGTGTTAAAGGTAAGAAAAGGGATCATTTGCTCATCCCTCAGTGGAGAAATCTCGTTGTCAACGCACAATACAAGAAGAGCAGGAGTAAAGGAAGCACTTCAAACAAGAGTAACTGCTTCCTCTTATTTAGAAACTAAACAACATCTATCCATAAAAGCAAGGATTTGTGTGTCTGTCCATCAGTCTGTCTGTGCCCAAGTCAGAGTTCATACTTGGCTTTCCTTAAAACCTGCCAGTCTGCCCATTGCCTGCCTACCTATTCATCTGCCTGTCATTGAATATATATGTACATATATACATTTAATTTGTTTTTGAGTCCTACTACATTGATACATACATATATCGAGAAAAAAATCCGTGGTTTATACAAAGCACAATGTGTCTATCCAATTGTCTGTGAAACTGTATGTTACTGCTCTCTGCTGTTTATTCTACTGTTTTTCGCATGGCGCCGTAAAGATGGCGCCGTGGCAAGAGCTCTGGTGTGTGTCGTCCGGTGCACACTGGGGTAGTCTTACACAGTTTTTCCTATGTGGTTTTACTGCAAATGGCAAATGAATGAATCTGAATCTGGATTAGTAACCAGGACAGGAGTAATCCAGTAAAAATAGAGAGTAGAAATGACTGTGTTTTCCTTCCAACCCATAAAGACATGAGTCAGTGGGAGTGTGAGCTGCTCATCCCAACAGCCTCCTCACATATGGACACTGTTTATCAACGATGACAAGGATCTGCTCATATTTATGTCTGACGCACTAGAAGCAGTACATGTAAATGTGTTTAAGAGCAAAGTAAATATAAACACATTTTAACAAGCTCCACTGACTCACATGGATAGAGTTGTTTCCCCTTCTTTAAGGACGTAAGACAGTATCCGTGGCGTATGCAGGTTTTGGAGATCTTCCAATGTTCCTGGTTTCTTCTCTGGTCTCTTTATCTGGTCCCTCTGACCCCTTCCTCTGGCATTGCTCTGGTCTCTCTCTGGTCTCTCCCTCTGATCTCTCTTTCGCGTCTGGTCTCTCTCCCTGGTCTCCCTTTGGTCTCTCTCTTTTCCCTCTGGTCTCTCCCATTGGTCTCCCTCTCTGATCTCCATTTCTGGCCTCTCCAGCTGCTGTTTCTCTCTTGTCTGTCACGTGCGAGTTTTGGTCACTGTTTTTGCATTAAAGAAAATATTCTGTATGTCTTTCAGTCTCTGTCATATACCTTTTTAAACTAAATTCACAAGACAACACAACAGTTTAATCCCTCTTTCAAATTGAAACCTAATTCAATCATTATTGAAAACACAAAACAAACTTATGAAAGGGCTTAAATTCAGCCTTCTTGGAGGGACGATGAATGGATTTTATGAGAAGTGGAGGCTGTGAAATTGTATGAATAGCCAACACCTGTGTGAAAGACATTAACGTAAATTGAAAAGACTTTCAATAAAAATTAGCCATTGTTTGGAGCATGATCTCTGTCCAAGTGAAGGGGACTTGCTCCGGAGTGTGTGTCGCTCTTCCCGAAACAGACTGCTTCCAAACACTACTTTGGAGCGTGTCACTTTGCGTATCAACTCTGTGTACCTGCTCTCATAAATACTCCTGTACGTGCTCCCATAGACACTCCTGTGTGTGCTCCTGTGCTCCTGTTGTATCTCCATATTCATTTGCTCAGAGCCGTGAATAGCCTCTGTAATGACTCCTGGCGGGCCCCGGTTTACCAAAGAGATACCGAAGAGTGCTCACGTTATGCATAAAGGCTCTAATTAATAATTCATTGAGTGTTTTTTAATGGTTTGGAACGGCACCGCTCCCCTCGCCACTTCCCCTCTGGGTGGTCCGGCCAATCGGCTCCTGCTAATTGTGCACACATTTGCATAATTATCTCAGCGAGCGTTAGTTGAAACCGTCTGCCTCAGATGATCGTCGACATGATGGTTTGGTTCTGTGCCAATGGGAGCACGCACGCGCACGCACACAACTATTTTACTCATGACTAACATTTTTTGTGTAATAAAAAAAAGGGATTAAGGCAGCTGCGGCTGGACTGTCCATCGATGCCCATATTTGGGCCAGTCTGCCCGCCTCATACAAAAAACATCAAGCGGAGTACTTGCTGTTGTTTGCTGTATGTACTCGATTGTTATTCCGCATCCTCCGTGTCAGGGCGCCTGTGAGCGGCTTTGACAACAACACGGTGGCACGCAGCCTTAACGTGGCTATGTTCCCAAGACCATATACACGCACAGGGCCATTCTCTGCTTGTTGTATGCGTGTCTTCTTTACGTAACCTGTGCACGCAATAAATACTCAGCTACCAGAAACAATCCGTGTCTCCTCCCGAAACACCACTAAACTCACTAAATAAAAGCTTGGGTACCCATATTTTCCCTCGCATTAACAGTTCATCTTGGTTGTGCCCAAAAGTTAAAGGTTGTGAACAAATCAAACAGATCTAATAATGGAATTCAGACTTTTTTTCAAAGTCCCATTCTCATCCCTGTAACAAACACTAGTTTTGGTCTGTGGCCATCTCCCTCACTCTGTGTAGAGACATGTTTATCACTCTCTTGTAATGTAGACCATCGCACTATTTTAATTGTTGAAACTACATACATCCTCTACAAATCCGTAATTTTTTTTGAAAAAACCCCCGCCAAAGACTTCAATACGGCAAAAATGCCCCGGTCGTGTTTTTGGTCCAAGTCCAGCCCTGAAGGCAGCTATGGTCCTTTGAACAGCCACACAAACACACAATGTACATTCGAAACGACTGTTAAGTCTTGACTCCGGGTAACAGCAGGTCCTCAGAGTCCCAGCAGGAGGCCAGTCCTTGTGCTCCTCAGAGTCAGAGTTGGTTCATATGACACTAACATGTCACAGATGTACTTTGGTGTGGGTTCATAGGGATTTACACACAAGCAGAGATGCTTTAAAATCTTTTCTCTGAGCTAAAGGAAGCCATTGCAGAGACCTGAGACCCATATACAATATTGTTCTTTACTCCAGCACAGAGAGGGCAGAGCAGATCTCTCCAACGCTCAGTATTTGAGGGCAGTGAGTTTGGAACGTTCCCACAGCCGGGTCACAGCTGCTGGCCAGAGTCCCAGGAGCCTGGCTGGTAAACATGAGAGCCTGGAGCCGCTGGTGTCCCACTGTGGTCATGTCTGTCCCCACTGGTTTGATATCTGAGAGGCAGGAGACATTGTACACTGTGCCCCCAGCCCCCAATACACTTTCACAACACACTCTGAGAGGATGTTACATCCACGTCATAGAGAGTAAAGATGACAATTTAATAACTTTCAATCAGCAGTGGGTCTGGTTTAAATTAATTCAACTGTCACTTGCATTTCAATCTAAAACCTTAAAGTCTTGAAAAGGTTATTGTAAAAGCTAAAGGGCATCTTCTGGAGGTCTACTATATTAACATGGTTTTGACAATTTATCTCATTTGACCTTGAAGCTATTGAAGAAAGTTCTTAAAGCTGGAGTACCTACCTTTTGTTGCAAAAATACATGTTGTTTGTCCAACAGAAAGACTCTTGCTTAGAAAAAACCCGGTGTGAACTATTCATACTGTACTTGTATTAATCTAAAATTCTTGGGTTTACAGATCCAAAAAGACTGGATGTTAAGGTGAACAGCTTGGCAGACCCAACGATTTTTTATTTATTTAACAGATAAACAGGCGGCACGGTGGCTGAGTGGATAGCACTCTCGCCTCTCAGCAAGAAGGTCCTGGGTTCGAATCCCGGTCGGACCAGGGCCTTTCTGAGTGGAGTTTGCATGTTCTCCCCGTGTCTGCGTAGGTTTCCTCCGGGTACTCCGGTTTCCCCTACCACTAAAAATATGTCCAATAGTTCTGGCATGCGCCTCCTGTACTGGCGACCTCGCTCCCATCTCTGTGTGGAGTGAGAGACAAATGCCCAAAATTAACAATTGTAAACCGCTTTGAGACTCAGATCTGCAGTGAAAAGGCGGTATATAAATAAAAACTTACTTACTTACTTACTAGATAGTGGGCGGTTCCCGGGAGGCAGATGCAGAGACTTCGACCGGGCTATGGCAGGCTGAGGATGATGGAGAACTGGAGCTGGACACACCGAGGGCTCTGGAGAACACCAGGAAACAATCAAACACGGGTAGGTAATAGTGATGTGCTGAGCGTGCCAAGTCTTCAAAGTGTGTACCGAGTGATCTAGGAGAGTTTTTTTTGAAGCATGGTTTGAGGCGTGTGTTGGTGACGTATGTGGTGACGTTCGAAGCCTGACGTAGCGGCCGCACCACGTGACTGTCCACTGAAGAGCTTCATATAGTTCGGAGAGAGAGTGCATCGCTTTGACAGGTGCTTTGTGATCCGCAGCTTTAGCCGTCTGTCTCTGTGTGTGTGCGTCTGTGTGTGTGCGTCTGTGTGTGTGCGTATGTGTGTGTGTGTGCGTGTGTGTGTGTGCGTGATGTGGAGCAGTCCTGTACCTAATTATAGCAAATCTACTTCATATGAAATACAATTAGAATGGTCTCAGTTTCATATATCCAAGTTTTCCTTAATGTCACGATGTTTTTTCTTTTGTTTAAAATAATTGTACGTTGTAACATGAATCACGTTATAGTTGAGTGGCGCAGTAGGTAGGTGCCGGTCTCTGAACCCTAAGATTGGAATCCTGCATGAGACTTTGTCAGTTTTGTATTTGCAAAGTAGATATATTTAATTACTGGGAAATACATGGTTTGCTGTGTTTAATCCACCTCATGGGGGTTTTTCCTCAATTAAACACGTTTTGTAAAACTTCATTGCTTTTGATGCAATGTTTGTTGTATCAACACAATTGACTGAAAGTCTCAAATAGTTCATAGTTCATGAAGCATCTTTTCAAACACAACAATTTAGAACATAGATTGTAAATATCAATATTATCATTAGACCCCACCATTCATTGTAAGCACTTAAGAGTGTTATATATATTTGTCCACATGATGGCGTAGTGGAGCATAAGGCCCCGTCCCAATTCTCGCCCTTGCCCTTAAAAAGCAAACTTGCCCTAGCGTTTGCGCGTGCCCGCGCGAGTGCAAGGGTGTCCCAATACTTAGAGAGACGAGGCGAGGGTCTTCACTGCCCTAAAAACCACCCTTGAGCGCAAGTGAGGTCGAGAGCTCACTTGCGAGCGAGGGTGATCCCATGATGCATTGCGAACTCGGCAAACCAGTTTTTCCAAATGAACATGGCGCCAACTCTCGGGAGCGCAAGCTACAAATGTAAGTACAATTTCACACAAACATGCACTCTAAAAGCTATGAAACGTGTCAGAATTATGTGGGTACGCAATTTGTTCTACAATGTAGAATGCCGGTGTTGGCTCGCTGTTTGGTACGAGTGCATGTGCATGGCATGGTGTGCATTGAATTCATAAACATAGGTAAGCGTTTGTGTTCACCATTAACGTTGGTTGTGTGTTTGCAAACCTGCGCAAACAGCTTGCAGTAGTAGTGGAACTGAACAATTGACCAACGCTGTTTTTCCCCCAGGGACCACGGAGAAAACCTTTGCTCTCATAAATTACAGAGCTGCGAATGAAGCCAATTTTATGAAAACTAAATTTCAGACAAAAAGTCTGTGGCAGTAAGTGAAACTTCTATTCTTAATAATAATGCTATTGAACACAGCTAAATGCCTATACCTCACTGTATGTTCACAGGCAAGCAGTGAAAGAGCTGGGCCTGGAGGGGAAAGTGACCCACAAGCAGGTCAGTAAGAAGTGGGAGAACCTGAAGAAGCGCTACAAGGTAATTATCTGCAAATATATCTGTCTGGTTAATCCTGTAACCTCAACTCACTTTGCTGTGTGTGTGTGTAGGACCTAAGGGACCCAAAGACTGGCTCAGGCACAGATAGCGGGGAGAAGACCGCTTCAAACTGGCCGTATTACGCTGTGCTTCACGCAGTCTTGGGGGGAAGGCCTGCTGTGGATCCCCCTGTTGTTGTGGCGTCTTTCAGGCCAGCTGAAGACCCTACAGCTTTGCTAATGGTAAGAAACAAGGGAATATTTTTATAGGGGCGGTGTACAATAAACATTAACCCAAAGGAAAGATGCATTGAACCACTAGTCCCTGAGCAGGTTGTTTTCAAACAGTAAAATGTAAGTAATTGGAGGATTTATCAGACCAAAATTTCTATTTCATTTACTACAAGTTAAATAAAAAACACCGGCCAGCCCCATTATTCACTTATTATAAAGACATTTCTGCACTGAATTCACACAGACACGTCACACATGGAAACAGAGTTGCCTTTCCAATAGACATGTTTTTGTACTGCATGTGAATACTTTTAGTTCAGTGCAGGTGATGATCTCAGTTGGGAGTGAGTCCAGAACATTTTGGGACGCTGCACTCTCCACGTGCTGTAGACCGAGTGGCATGTGTACTTTGTGATGTGTACACACTGCTAGGTCAGTGCTTGTAGCCGTGCAGTTAAAAACTTTATTTGCCATGACGTGACAATAATTTGTCTCCAACAGGCCACTGTCAATCCTGACGAGACCCCCAGTGAGGATACTCAGTTGGGCTCTGCCTCCTCTGCACCATCGACCCGGTCTGCTTCTCCAGCTCCATCCTCAAACAATCCTCCCTCTTCACCAAACCCGTCCTCTTCATCCTCTCGCCATAACACACCTACCCTCAGAAAAAGGAAGAGGACAGATAGCCAGAGGATTTTGGACTTTCTCCAAGCAGTCGGACAAGGAACAGAGAAGACACGAGGAGTCAGAGGAGAAGACTTCGCGCTTTTTAAGTCTCTTCGAGACGATGGTGGAAAAGCTGTAGCTAGCCTGCTGCTGTGTGGCTGTTTGGGAAAACATGTCTGTTCATGTTGTACATATGACATTTTATTAGAGTGTTTTTCAAAAAATAAATCTCAGTTAATGTGACTGTGTGTGTGTTGATGTTGACTGTTCTAAGAAGAAATACTGAAACTTAAAGTTAGGATCTTGGGAAAGGATATAAAGAAAAGGTCATCCATTGTTCTTTAAATCATTTTATTGAAAGAATATCTTTACATTTAAGGGTCTTCATTGAACAATACAGCGAGCCTGTCCCTTATTGCAGTCCCTGCCCTTTCATATTCCTCAGCAGCTTCATGGAGAGGAAGTTCCGGGTCCAGGATGTCTGTTGCATCACTATCAGGTCCCAGGACGTCTCCGTTGTCTAGACATACATTGTGCAGAAAGGCACACGATGCTATAACCTGTGGTGCAAATGTAGGCTTGACCTCCAGGGCTCTGAACAGGGTTGACCTCCAGCGAGTCTTCATAATCCCAAATGCTCTCTCCACAATAGAACGGGCTCTTGACAGATGGTAGTTGAATTTCCTTTGGGCCCGGCCGTTCACTGGCTCTCGGTATGGAGTAATAAGGGCGATTGGTCCCTCCAAACAAGGATAACCCACCATCTCCCAGAATGAAGTACCCCGTAGGTGGGTACCTTCTTGCAAGGTAAAACAAGCTGTTCTTCAGAATGCGCGTGTCATGCACAGAACCTGGATAGCCCACAAAAATGTCTAGGAATTTTCCTGTGTGATCACAAATAGCTTGCATTTGTATTGAGTAGAAACCCTTGTAATTTAGATAGTCCAGACGATGGAGTGATGGGGGCTTTATGCGAACATGACAACCATCAATGGCTCCAACAGCTTTGTTTAGTAGAGGTGTTCCAGCAAGCTCGGCAAAGCCGTTACTCACTGCATCAATGTCAGCCATCTTTGGAAAACTGATTGCTCGGTGTAGATTGTTCCAAATGAACTGTGCTACCCTATGGACAACCCTGTGGACAGTAGACCTAGGAATACTGAACACTCTGGACACAACACGGTAGGATAGTCCATGGGCAAGCCAGTATACATATATGAGGACCTCATATTCATTGCCCCAACCATGATCTTGCGCTCTCCTCATTACACGTTGCAGCGAATGCATGGTCTGCCTGGACAGTCTGAAGTCAGGTTTTGTGTCCAATTCGACGTCCAACCACAAGCGTAGAATAGGCACAACCACATTGACTTTACAGTACGTTGCTGGACGGTCACTCTGAAAAACAAAGAGCAAAAAAATATATAGCATGAGTGATGGCCTAAGAGCACAAATTCCCCTCATGAAAGCAGGGATGTGACATTAACAATACAAACTATACATGCAAAGGCATTACAGTACTTCATATAATATTTTCCGCAATATAAATAGTTCTCAATATACTACTGTGACTCAAGATTTCAGTGAAAGGAAGTTAGAACCAGTGTAGCCAATGCTGCACCGCTTTGTTTTTGCGTTTGTGATACACGTGTTTAGTACATACTTAAAACAGCGATGAATACTTCATGGTTAGACGTTTGGACATATGGATGTAACTTTTGATCTTTGTATCGTTTGTAGGTCGTCTTGTTTTAGACACAGTTTTGGTACGATAGTTAGTAATGTTGCAGCCATAGACTGTATATATATGCAGTCGGGCAAAGCCGCGCCATTATGAAAGAAAACAACATACCTGAAACATCCGGGCAAGCGCAACCATACGTCGAAGTCTCATCCTACGTCTGTTGCTTCTCCGTGTACTTTGCGAACGGAGATAAAGCATCATAGCCCACAAAACAGGCAGAAGCTCCGCTGGACCCGGCATTTTCAAAAGTAACAACAACAGCAGTACTTCTCCGGTCTTACCTTCCCTATGAAGAAATATGTATTACCGCCACCTATTGGACTGGGGTGAAATCCGAAAAATTGACATTGCGTGTGACGTAGTGGACGCTCATTTGCATACAAGGGTGTCCCAATACTTAGGGAGAGTTGAGTGCACCCTCCACTTGCACTCGCACTTGCACTCACACTTGCACTCGCACTTAAGGGCAAGGGGGAGAATTGGGACGGGGCCTAAATCACCTCGAGCCTTCGAACCATGGGCCGAGTAATAGGCTGCAAACCCTCAATGCTTCATTGGGCTTCATATTGCCATCACTCATCAATAGGTGTGGTGGAGGACGAGGGGATGGAGGTGGGGTTCTTGGTGCTGGTAGGGGGAGGTGGCTAAATGAGCAGAGGGGGGTGGAATACTTATGGGGTTAGAGGAGGGACGGTGGATTTTGTTGGAGAATTTGAGTTGGACGCCCTAGGTAACTGTGGAGGGAACGTAGGGGAGTGGTTTGAATGTAGATAGGACTCTTGATCTGCTACAGTGGGTGTGAGAGGAATAGTCTCATCGCCGATCTATCATCGCCGCCGATGTTTCCGGAAAAAAAAAAAAAAAAAAAAAAAAAAAAAAAAAAAAAAAAAAAAAAAAAAAAAAAAAAAAAAAAAAAAAAAAAAGAAAAAAAAAAAACAAAAAATAAAAAAAAAAAAAAAAAAAAAAAAAAAAAAAAAAAAAAAAAAAAAAAAAAAAAAAAAAAAAAAAAAAAAAAAAATAAAAATAAAAAAAAAAAAAAAATAAAAAACAATTAAAAAAAAAAAAAAAAAAAAAAAAAAAAAAAAAAAAAAAAAAAAAAAAAAATAAAAAAAAAAATACAAAAAAAAATAAAAAAAAAAAAAAAAAAAAAAAAAAAAGATAAAAAAATAAAAAAAAAAAAAAAAATAAAAAAAAAAAAATAAAAAAAAAAAAAAAAAAAAAAAAAAAAAAAAAAAAAAAAAAAAAAAAAAAAAAAAATAAAAAAAAAAATAAAAAAAAAAAAAAAAAAAAAAAAAAAAAAAAAAAAAAAAAAAAAAAAAAAAAAAAAAAAAAAAAAAAAAAAAAAAAAAAAAAAAAAAAAAAAAAATAAAAAAAAAAAAAAAAAAAAAAAAAAAAAAAAAAAAAAAAAAAAAAAAAAAAAAAAAAAAAAAAAAAAAAAAAAAAAAAAAAAAAAAAAAAAAAAAAAAAAAAAAAAAAAAAAAAAAAAAAAAAAAAAAAAAAAAAAAAAAAAAAAAAAAAAAAAAAAAGTCCAGTAGTGAAGGCGGGGATAGAAATCAAAGGGAAAGGTCGTCCTCATTGTGGATGGATGTAGCGGGTGGACCCAAGCGGGGGACCCCAGCCGGTGCATGAAGTGGATGAGGATGATGGAGAACCCCAGATACACTGCTGTAGCGGCTGGAGCCAAGTGGGTATCCACTGAAGAGGATGCTGCTGCTGAAGATGATGTAGCAGCCACTGCTGCTGCTGTATCCACTGCGCTGCTGAAGATGATGGAGCAGCCACTGCTGCGGCTGTATCCACTTGCTGCTGGTGGTGCTGTATATGCTGATGGCGCTGATGAAGATGTGGCAGCTGCTGATGCTGCTGGGGGGAGGAGGCGTTGAGCTCTTTCGAGCCGTGGGAGGTGTTGAGTTTCTTTTGGAACCTTGGAGTGTTGAGTTCTTCTTGAATCGTGGAGGTGTGGAGTTCTTTTGAGGCGGTGGGGGGTGCAGAGACCTCGGAGTCGGTGGAGATGGTCGTGATGTCTGTGCCCTCTTGCTTCTTCTTTCTCCCTTTTGACGCTGCACGCGCTGCGCAGGCTGAGGTCTTAGGGCAGATGCAAAGTTATCCATCAACACTTTTACTCCGTAGTTGTTCAGATGTGTGATCCTTTTTCTTCAAAACGGCTCGTGCCTATTCCAGAACAGAAATAAAGTTTTCAATGAAGCCAAGTCCTCTGCGTGAACATTCTTTTTTTTGTTTCATTTTTGAGTAGGAATGTATTTAGCTGATACAGACGGCTAAAACTTCTCCATTTTTCCATCTATATTTGCAAGTGGTCCACAAAAAAAATTGCTATGTCCATTTTCTTGAGTCATCCAGTAACAGCGTTAAATCCATTCGTAACTTCTCACTTGCCTTCTCATAGATATCTACTGCCCCCGTGTGGATCAATAATGTACGCACACCACTGTTCTCAGATAACACTCTAGGCAGAAGAGTCCTTATCTCAGCAACTTTTGCAGAGTGAACTGAGACAGTGAGCATGGACTCCATGTTTACATTTTTCACCGAACCATCTCCGATAAGGACACAGTTTGTCCTTGGTGGAGGAGCTGCAGTTTTTAGCGGGCTTTGTTGTTTCAGAAAGGGGTAAAAAAGCGGTTTGAAGTCTTCAGAACATTTAGTTGTGGCTTATTTCACTCCTATTGTCATTCTTAGCTTTGTCAAACTTTGGGTTTAGCATCCACAATAGTTGCAATAATTCTCATTGTTGATTTTGGGAAAAGAAATGACGTCATAACTTACATTTCCAGTCTGTCCATTCATCCCATTTTCACTCATTGGGAAGAGTGGGTTAAGTCCCATTTCTGTTTCCACATTAGATTATCCGTGTTTGAAGAGATTTGAAATCAGACGTTCCAGAATTGCACAACTTGCCGTCAGCATTCGTTTCTTGTCTCTTTCGTCCCGCACTCCATGATTCCTTCTCTTCTCCATAAATCAAACCCCCCCCACACCACCCCCCCCCCCCCATTACAAACTCCTGGGCCCCAAGTCACCTGAGAGTGTGAAAAAATGAAATTGGCCCATTAGCGCCCCCTACAGGCTGAGTCAAAGAGTTACATGGGGATACAGGTATTAAGTTTTTCTGTTGTTTGATCTATATTTGACCCACTGAACAAACTGGAATGGATGGAAAGTAAAAGTAAGTTACATAGTCTGTATGTTCGTCAAAGGTGAGCCCTGGCCCCGAGTTTTACATTTAAAAAAAAGTTGGGACGCACTTTAGTTTAGTTAGTAAGTAAGTAAGTAATTATTTATATACCGCCTTTTCACTGCAGAGCTGAGTCTCAAAGCGGTTTACAATTGTTTATATTTTTTTTTTTTTGGCACTTGTCTCTCACTCCACACAGAGATGGGAGCGGGGTCACCAGTACAGGAGGCGCATGCCAGAACTATTTTTACATATTTTTAGCGGTAGGGGGAAACCGGAGTACCGGAGGAAACCTACGCAGCACATGGGAGAACATGCAAACTCCACTCAGAAAGGCCCTGGTCCGACCGGGATTCGAACCCAGGACCTTCTTGCTGAGAGGCGAGAGTGCTATCCACTCAGCCACCGTGCCGCCCACCGTAGTTCTGACTAATTACCTCGAGTTTGAGTTCAGTTAGAGTTACGTTAGAGTACAATAATTATCACTTAATTAGCTGAAAATTAGTCTGGGCTAATCTAAAGTGTTCACAAAAGTTGAATACACACATCAATATGTTTAATATTTTTCCATTTTTTTATTTATTTTTTGTATTCTGTGGGGTGGGGGTGGGGGTTAACTATTGTTGAACATTTTCAAGACGACTTCCACTTCTGTTAAAGTCTGTTCCGGTTTCTTCTTTAGATCTCAGGGTCAACGGCGACCAATCAAACTCAAGTCTCTGGAGCCAGATCCTCTCAATGACAAGAAAACTAAACCAAATTTGTGGCCATTGTTAGCGATTCTGTTGCAATTATAAAGTGCCGGTCATGACACCAAAGTCCTGCTGCTGCCTCAAAAAACTGTTGCATTCAATATGAACTAAAGCTTCATATTTCATGCAACACGTCACACTAATCATTCATTCCAAACGCGGCGGCGGTGAGCTACTAGCCCCAGCTGCCCTGGGGCAATCTGCTGCAAGTGAGGCTGCCATAGAGGCCCCTCCTACCACCACCTGCCATTCACACACGCACAAACATTCACACAAGGCAAAGTGGGTGAAGTGTCTTGCCTAAGGACACAACGGCGAGTTTAGAGCCGCCCCACTGCAGGTAGCACCTGTGGAAACACTAGGTCTCCCATCACAGCGGTGCCCAGGCCTTGCACTTAGGAGACCCCCCCAGGCCCAATGTTAGCTTCATGACAGGCAAATGCACTGAATCTTCTGGTTTTGGAAATGTTGATTCGATATGACCAGAGAGAGAGACCAGAGAGAGAGACCAGAGAGAGAGAGAGAGAAAGACCAGAGAGCTCTCTCGTCTCTCTTCCTCCTTTCTGGTCTCTCCCCCTTCACCAGAGAGAGGACCAGAGAGACCAGAGAGACCAGAGAGAGACCAGAGAGACCAGGGAGAGACCAGAGAGAGAAACCAGAGAGACCAGAGAGACCAGAGAGCCCAGGGAGAGACCAGAGAGAGAAACCAGAGAGACCAGAGAGAGACCAGAGAGACCAGAGAGAGACCAGAAAGAGACCAGAGAGACCAGAGAGAGACCAGAAAGAGACCAGAGAAAGACCAGAGAGAGACCAGGGAGAGACCAGAGAGAGACCAGAGAGAGACCAGAGAGAGACCAGAAAGAGACCAGAAAGAGACCAGAGAAAGACCAGAGAAAGACCAGAGAGAGACAGAGAGAGACCAGAAAGATACCAGAGAAAGACCAGTGAAGTCCGACAAATTGTGCTGTTCCTGTGATATTGAGATCTTTTGTCTTTATTGGAAATGGAAGTGAGACAACCTTCAGTCCATGTTGTCTTAAAAGGTCTATCAGGAGTTGAGAAT